TAATAAAGTCAAATTTAGAAAAAGAAAAAAAAAGGGTCAATTATAGGCTACTAGTTGTGCTGCAATCGTTCTTAGATATCAATCAAATTATAAAATTTTGTTTTTATAACCCATAAAATGCTTGTTGACAAAAGCCTTAGTTACTCACGTCCAATTCTACCTATAATTAATTAATAGCCAAGGACAGTACAGCTAATATCCATACATAATAAAACACTATTTTTTTAATTTTATGTTTTTGGTCTGAATTAATAAAACAGTGTTTATCAGCATAATATCAAGCATAACGTGTAAGGCTATTATTCCATGACAATGGCTGGCAGCAATATAAATATATAATAATCAGATTCATTTCCTATCGTAGATAATACCGTCGTCTTTAGGATGTATGACCATTTTTGTTGACTTCATCTTAGTCCATGAAACATTAATCTTTCGAAGCTCACATGGTTGCACTGGTTATGTCAACTGTCATTTAGTTTGAAAAAGTAAAAGGCCAGACCAGAGGGACTCGGAGCTTGCGTCTCTAACTCGAATTTGATTGTTTGGTCAATTAACTCAAATCGGTGAAGTGCAAGTTTTACTAACCTTTTTCATTATTAGGCTGCGTTTGGTTGACCGAAAAATGAATTTGGGAATGGATATATTATGCAAGTAATCTTCTATCAATGTTGAGAAGTAGGACACCACCTTTGCTTACCACCAATGAGAAAAGAGGGAGATACATGAAAATACTGTTGAAGTTGACAGACATTTCATCAAGGAGAAACTCAAGGCAAAGATCATTGAGGTACCATTAGTTAAATCCGAAGAAGATCAACTTGTAGATGTCCTCACCAAAGCAGTCACATGCAGAGTATTTCATAGTTCACTTAGCAAGTTGGGCATTGATGACATACATGCTCCAACTTGAGGGGGAGTGCCAAATAAGCTGTACATTCCTAATTAGTCTAAGTCAACTATTTAATTCTACAAGATTATAAGCTCATAATTACATTCCTAGAATAGTTTCTTAGGCTCTGTCTATATATTCTTCCTATTGTTATACATTGGCATATCAAAGAAATATTATTTCACTCAATCTGAGATGGTATCAGAGCAGTCGATCATGACTGTCTCTTGACCTAATCCTAACAATTGCTTCTGCAGCAGCAGCCGTCATACAAACCCAACAAAACCTTCACTCCAAACATTCAGATAATTGTTCATGTCATTTAACAAGTAGACCACCAGCCCATATTCCATCTCACAAACGAATTTAATTTTACCTTCGCTTTAGTCAAATCAATTTTTTCTTTTATTCTCATCCTTTGCAAATCAATTTCCACCGTTCCTTTGCTTTCCCTCAGCCCAATTTTTTTATTTGTCTTTTTCTCATCACTTGTAATCCAATAATATCAAGGCCAACAATGATGGGTCAGCAAACACCAATCAATCCTTGGTGTCATGAGACTTCAACACTACCACACAAATTCTCACTTCGCAGAGTGACACCTCCAACTTCTTGGCAAGAATCAAACTAGATGAGAATAGTTATTCTCGATGGCGTCAAGTCATAGAGATGAAGATAGTTGGGCAAGAAAAGCATGGCCACTTGACCTGTGATATTGCCCAACCTGCATCCGTAAATTCCACATTTAATAAATGGCGTGCATCGGATTGCGCCCAACCTGCATCCGCAGATTCCACATTTAATAAATGGCGTGCATCGGATTGCCAAGTCAAGAGTTAGTTGTTCGACGCAATGCAACCTAATCAGGTTAAACGGTTTATCCGTTATGTCACAACAAAGAAAGTCTGGGATGCAATCAAGCGAACCTATTCAAATGGTGCTAATGAATCCAAGATTTATGACCTTCACAGAAGGTCATTCACAATGAAGCAGAATGGTGCATCAATTGCCAAATATTACAGTGAGGTCACTGAGATTTTTCAGGAGCTTGATCAATTAAGTCCAAGCAATATGGAGCATTTGAAAGACATTGAAACTAGACGCAAAGAGATTGATCGTCTCCGAGTTTACATATTTCTTGCATGTTTGGACTATAATTTCGATCAAATTCGAGGAGAGATTTTGAGGATGGAGCCTAAACTTGAACTTGAGGCAACATGTGCACATATTAAAAGAGAGAGTAACCGACAGGGAACCATGTCTGAAGCTGGGGTAACCTCAGACGCCATAGCCTTGGTTGCTGCCAAGTCCAAGCAATCTCAACAATCACAGTGCCAACCCTACTCGTAACTGGCCTCCAATGAAGTGTACCCAATGTGGTTTAGATAACCAAGCAATTAAGGCTGTTATGAGATTATTGGTTATCCAGACGGATGGGTTTCCAAAGAGCGATAGAAGGATTTGACCAAAGCCTCATTTGCATCTGTTGAGTCATCTCAAGAGACTACATCAGAACCTCCATAAGGTATATTTGGCTCCAAGGTTGGCCACCTCAGGTACCTCTTGCACATCTTCACTTACTTGTAATAGATAATGGATTATTGACATTGGCGCTACTGGTCACATGACATCTAGTTTTATTGAGTTGCACTCTACCAAACCATCAAACCAAACACATATTACCAATGCCAATGGAAACACCTCCCAAGTTATGGGAGAAGGGTCCTTATCCCTTACATCCTCATTAAGTCTTGATCATGTCTTAGTTGTCCCTTCACTCGACTATGACTTGTTATCTGTTTCTCAAATCATTGATTCCCTTAATTGTATCATGTGTTTTTTGCCATTGTATTGTTTGTTTCAGGATCTTCTCACTAGGGTCGTGATTGGATGTGGTACTAGGAGGGAAAGTTGTATTACATGGACTTGACAGAAGACAACATTAAGAGATTGAGTCACGCACATCATGTGCGAGGAGACGAGTCCATGAGGATGAAGAAAATTGGCTATGGCATAGACGATTAGGGCATGCATCTTTTGGTTATATGAAACTTTTATTTCCAGATTTGTTTTCCCATTTTATTGAATCAGACTTTCATTGTGAAACTTAGATTTTGGCAAAAAGCCATCGTATTTCTTACTCATTAAGAGTGAATAAAAGTTCTATGCCTTTCATGATTGTTCACTCTGATGTTTAGGGACCGTCCAAAGTTCCCACTATTAGTGGTTTTAAGTGGTTTTGACGTTTATTGATGATTGCACCCGGATGACTTGGGTTTTTCCCCTAAAGTAGAAAAGTGAAGCCACTGCAAAATTGAAGCAATTTCATCAATATGTTGCTACTCAGTTTGACAAGAAAATCACAAAACTTCAGTCTAATAATGGAGGAGAGTACGTCAACCATGACTTACATAATTTTATGAGCCAACATGGTATTGTTCATCAAACCACATGTGCCTATACACCACAACAAAATGGTGTCGCAGAGCGTAAGAATCGTCATCTCTTGGAAGTTGTTCGTGCCTCTTTATTTGAGGCTCGTATACCCCATCATTTTTCGGGGGAGGCTCTTTGTTGTGCTATTTACCTTATAAATAGAACATCATCCATCACTCTTTAATATCAAACTCCATTTCAGACATTGGCCACTCTCCTCACCATGTCGTTCACACCAAATCTCGAACCACGTCTTTTTGGGTGTGTTGCTTATGTTCATGTATATCCACATCAACATGGCAAGGTTGATCCGTGTGCATTACGTTGTGTCTTTGTGGGGTATGCAGACACTCAAAAGGGCTATAAGTGTTTCCATCCTCCCACTCAGACATTGCACGTTATAGCAAATGTGACTTTCCATGAGAATGAGTTCTATTACTCAGGTAGAGTTTTTGAGCAACCTCTGCAGGAGGGAGAGCTTTATCTTTGCAGAAGATACTCAAAATCAGATCATCCAAAGGTAAAGTATCCAAATGTAGATCGCCTGTCAGTAATAGAACCTGCCCAGTCTACATCAGTGTGACCCTTAACATCTAGATGGCCATGATGTGAGAACATCAATCCTCTTCCAGGAGCTAACTTCAAGTATCTTAGAATTCAATTTACAGCATCCATGTGGGCTTCACTTAGTGCATGCATGAACTGACTCACCACACTTACAGCATATGCTATATCAAGTCTAGTGTGTCCTAGATAGATTAACTTACGCACAAGGCATTGATATCTTTCTTTGCTGGTAGGTACATGATCAGGATATTCACCAAGCTGATGATTCAACTCCATTGGAGTGTCTGCTGGTTTACTGGCTAACATTCCAGTGTCAATCAAAATGTCAAAGATATATTTCCGTTGTGATAGAAATATTCCTTGTTTTGAATGAGCCACTTCGATGCCTAAGAAATATTTCAGAGCACCAAGATCTTTCATTTCAAACTCACTTGCCAAGTGGCGCTGTAATGTTGCCTTTTCCTCTGGGTCATTCCTCTAGGATGCATGATGGGGCCTAATACGGGCAACATGGTGTGTAAATTGAGAAAGTTTCTCTATGGATTGAAGCAATCACCTAGAGAATGGTTTGGAAAGTTCAACAAACACTACTACAAAAATTGAAATAGAAGACGGGGAAAAATTGTCGTCTTTTTCTTTTGAAAACCGTCGTTAAATCGACCGCCATCTTTTGAAGGTCAAAACTACAATGGTGATTCACCGTCGTCTATTATTTGTAAAGACGATGCTTTGACTCAAAACCGTCGTCTATTAATTGTAAAGACGACGGTTTTTCTGAAATAACCGTAGTCTGTAGATGTAAAGACGACAGTTTGTCTAATAGAACTGTCGTTTATTATATCCAAAGATGTCGGTTTATAATAAAAGTGTCGTTAATATCAGTAAAGATGATGGTTCTAAACTAAAACCGTCGTTAATTTTCAATAAAAATGATGGTTTTTACAATAAAATCGTCGTTGATTGTCCTTAAATTTGTCATCTAATAAGTTCCCACGTTGGTACAATTTAGTTTTTTTTTTTGTTTCCTTTGATTCTATACAACGATTTTAACTAGAAAAACAACTATAATGCTTTATTAATGAATATACACTCAAAAATTATTTCCTTCATAAAACTTGAAGCTTCAATAGTTATTACAAAATTAACCAATCTTTATTCCTACGACATACATACTTGCTACCAATTAAATATAAATATTTCAATTGATACATGGTAATTAAGTAGTACAATCTTCTCCTAACAAGACCTATATCTAGTACTCTTAATCCAAGCCTTCCTCTCATCCAAACATACAAATGAAGCACAATTGAAGTCTACTCCATCATCCCTGTAAATAAATCAAAATGACAGAAAAAAAAAAAAAAAAGCAAAGATTATAAACAAATAAAATTAGGTGAAATGATCAAGAAAGGCTAGGCGCTAGTATGACACCAAAGAATTGAGCGCTCATAGAGTATCTAAGAATCTTTACCTTCCCAGTTGCAAAAGCCACAACATTTCCAGATCCAACATTTGCAATTGCTTTCTTTATACTTGCTAGAAGGAACTACAGTGTGCCATCAATAATCAAGAATAATGAAGAGTTATATTCTGTCAATGGAAGAGATCATAAGTAAAAGAAGCAGTAAGAGAAGGTGGAAAATAAAGTATCATATCACGATCAGTGTAAAATGAAGTAGCTTGTCCCATTGATCCTGCTCTTCCCATCCTTCCAATCCGGTGTACATAATCTTCACACACCATTGATGAAGAAGGGAAAGAGAATGTCTTCTCCTCTGAACCATATAAGAGAACAGTCATAGAATCAATATAACCACAATAAAAAATCCTATAATATGACCAAAAAAACAAAATTCAAACATCTTAATCCTTCGTGAAGTACTTGCAAACTAGACAAAATTCAAACAGGAGGAAAAAAAACTTTAGACAGAAAAACAAAACAAAAATCTCAATCAACACTAGAAAAACAAAACAAAAAACACTATGCTACCTCCAGCCTTAAAGCTAGCAACTTTAAATGCAAAGTTAAACAAGATGCTACCTCCAGCCTTAAGAGGCGTGTCTGTACTATCCTTCTGTGGTGGCTCACTTGAGTAGAAAGGATTATCACGGGGTAATTGGCAGCGGAAAACCTTCACACTTCTGTGTAAAAAAAAAAACATTACATAATCAGACACAGAAACTAAAAACCCTTTGGTTATAGACAACATAGGAAGAACAATACCTTCTAGAAAGCTTGTCCTACTGGCATTTCCATTGTTCATGTTGATCCCGACGTAGACACAGCATTGACATACACATAAAAACAAACAATGTTAAATGAAATGCAAATTGCTTCTCCTCTGGTGCATATTCAAATACATCTAGTTTATGTAAACATGAAATAGAGCTTATGCTAAGTGATTAAGCATCATAAATTAGCTACATATGTCAAAAGACAAACGAGAGAAAGCAAGTCAACAAAAATCCACCAAGACCAGATGATCAACAAACTTAAGCAAACCATTGGGTGACAGTATTATCCCCTTTGATTAATATCAAATATAAACTTCTTAGCCAATTCTACATATTCTTCAATATAAATGGCAGACCAGGTAAAAAATATTAAAAAACTGAAGAAACAGAGAGAGAGAGAGAGAGAGAGAGAGAGAGAGAATACCCAAAAACTGAATACGTAGAAACTCCATCTCCCACAACTCTTTGACATTCCGTCTTTACCAGCGTAAAATCCTCCCCCTTCTTGCTCTGACTCGCCTGACTGCACACAATCTCAGGTCTCTCAACCTTCTCCTTAGGCCAATTCATGCTTCAGCATCATTGAGAGCGGAACCGTATGATGATTCTCATTCTTGTCGGACATTGTTCCAACACACCCAAACACCTCAACACAGTCTCAATATCCTCCTCCTCCTACAACCTCTAATCTTCCATCTCCGATTCTCAAACCAAATCCTGCAAAACAAAGCCACCAAAAATACACCCACGTAAATCAAACGCTGCGTTTCGTGCATTCTCCAATCTAATCATCGATCTCGTTAATCTAATAAGAAATCGTTGGCATCAGTGGCTAAAACGGCCACGACCACAATGAAATCAACGAGATCTTCAAACGAAACGACACTCACAAAAACGAATCAAGCGATTTTCATCATCTCAAATTTACCGAAGAACGGGTCGACGAAGAGAAGGCGAAGCCTGGAAGAGAAGAGACCAGTGGGCTCGAGGGAGGCCTCATGAAGGAGATCGCGAAGATTGTGGAGGTGATACTTTTGGCGACCTCAGTAACCTGGACTCAAGGGATATGGCGACCGCAGTGAATTGGATGGCGCAATGGAGATGATGTTTCAGGGTTGAGAAAGGGAGTAGAGAGAGAGAGAGAGGGTTTCTAAAGGTCGCGAGAGAGTGTGGTGAGAGTTGTTTTTTAGCGAATACTTAAGTGAACTTTTTGTCGAGCGCATTTTAAAGCACGATGGGGTTTATAAGTAACTGTCATAATTTTTGCCAGTGCCTTTTAAAACACGACGCTTTTTAATTTTACCGTCGTTAAATAGGTGTCGTAGTTTTCCATTTTTGTAGTAGTGAAATCAATGAAGAATTTCGGATACAAGCAAAGTAACTCAGTTCATACTCTTTTCTTGAAACATATGAAAGGTAAAGTCACTGCTCTTATTGTATATGTTGATGACATGGGAGTTACCAAATGGCCCAAAGGAAAAGGCAGCATTACAGTGCCACTTGGCAAGTGAGTTTGAAATAAACGATCTTGGTGCTCTAAAGTATTTCTCAGGCATTGAAGTGGCTCGTTCAGAACAAAAAATGTTTCTATCACAACGGAAATATATCCTTGACATTTTGACTGACATTGGAATGTTAACCAGTAAACAAGCAGATACTCCAATGGAGTTGAATTATCAGCTTGGTGAATATCCTGATCAGGTGCCCACCAACAAAGAAAGATATCAAAGCCTTGTGGGTAAGTTAATCTATCTAGGACACAATAAACCTAATATAGCATATGTTGGAAGTGTGATGAGTCAATTCATGCATGTACCAAGTGAAGCCACATGGATGCTATAAATCTAATTCTAAGATACTTGAAGTCAGCTCTTGGAAGAGGATTGATGTTCTCACGACATGACCATCTAAATGTTAAGGGTCACACTGATGCAGACTGGGCGGGTTCTGTTACTAACATGCGATCTACATCTGGATACTTTACCTTTGTAGGAGACAATCTAGTCTCTTGGCGAAGTAAAAAATAGAAAGTGGTGTCAAGATCAAGTGTTGAAGCAGAATATCGAGGTATGGCACATGGAGTATGGGTGCTTCTCCGGATAAGGAATTTATTGGGGGAATTGAGGTTCAAACCCAAACATGCCATGCAACTCAATTATGACTATAAAGCCGCAATAGACATCGCACATAATCCAGTGCAACATGATAGAACCAAGCATGTTGAAGTTGATAGACATTTCATCAAGGAGAAACTCCAGGCAAAGATCATTGAGGTACCATTTGTTAAATCCGAACATCAACTTGCAGATGTCCTCACCAAAGTAGTAACAGGCAGAGTATTTCACAGCTCACTTAGCAAGTTGGGCATTGACGACATACATGCTCCAACTTGAGGGGGAGTGTCAAATGAGTTATACATTCCTAATTAGTCTACGTCAACTATGCCCCTTTGAACCAAACATCTTTATTAACTCATAAACTTAATATTATCCATTTTATGAAAAAGGGTAATCTGCTGAATTGCCCCCTGAACTTGTACATAACTCTCAATTTACCACCTTACCTTTTTTTTTAGCGAATTAAGGGCTCAAATTAAAATTTATTATCAATGTTCCCCCCACCGTCAAAATTCGAACATTTCATCCATTATTCCGTCCATTTGACTCACGTTGACTCTTTTGTTAGGGTTATTTTCGTCATTCAGCGCGGATTCAATTACCAACCTCTCTCACACACTTCGCACATCGCTTTCACTTTGGTAGGGTTCGAAAGGGACTGAACTGAGGGCACGAAAGGGGGCAAAATCGAAGGTTGGAGAGGGACGAAATTGAGGGAATCTGAAAGCTTTTTCATAAAGCTTCTTTTGGGTCCGTTAATTTAACGCAACATGACTCTGGATGTGTTGCCTCTGCAGGTGCGGAACAGAGGGCCTCCTCCCAAATACAGTAAGTAAACGTTTTTCCCAAGTTGAAATTGTTTAAGCTTGTGTGGTCCTTTGGTCCTTTGGTCCTTGGTTTGTCGGTGCTTTTGACATTTTGTGGTGTTGGGTGATATGCCTTTTTGAATATGAAATACATGTGGTCCCAAAGCATTTGTGTTGTTTTGTCTGCATAATAGTCGGTGGATCTGAGTCAATTTCAAGTTTAGAATGGTAGTTGAGCAATAAGGATAAGTTGGTGTGATAAAGTAGTGCTTTTATATATAATTTTTTTTTTATAGGTGATCCAGGTTTGTTCTCCCTAGAAATTCACCATGGAGGTTATATTTCAAAGGGGAAGTATGTT